GACGAAAATGAAAACGCTACGAACTTATGGAACAACCTAACAATTGTGAGACATGATTTCCTAAAATTTTGCGTCAAATATCGTAGTCTATCGAATAAACTACCTCTTTTATAAAAAGTAACGAAGATGTTTCGTACACAAATATCATCAGAAAGAGGTCGGTTACATGTCCTGAGACTTCATGGTACATCATCACGATTTCGCATAGCGTTTACGAGTCCCTCTGGCTTTTCTGAAGGTGCTGTCAGAATAACACGCGAAGTCACACAAACAAAAGCATGACAATGCTGGTTGTTTATTGATAATCAGAAAGAAAACTTTGAAAAAATTGAGATGTTCCATTATTTTTGAATCATCCTAGTATTTCGATTCACATGCTCAAATATCTCCACTTGCTTGATAATACAGTTTGGCTAGAGTCCTACTTCTTACCTTACGTTTTGTTCTCTCAAATTTGGTCTTTAGACCAGCTATCGGTCCTCATAAACCAGTGACCATAAAGCTAAAACTGCGTCTGAGTCAAATCATTGATGTGGTGAGTCGGTTTTTCTTTGCCTAACAATACAAAAGAGAACACATTCAGCACGAAATTGATCAAATTATGTCTTGTTCTGTGTGGCTCAAGCAAGTATGGACTGACAAACGTTTGTCATGGGATCCAAAGAGTTATGGAGGTGTGAATGTTCTCTATGTGCCTTACGAGATGATTTGGGTACCTGATATTGTTCTTTATAACAAGTGAGGTAAAAGTTTCTGTATATTTTGCCATAAAGCTAACTTAGTAGATTGTAGCGCTGATAGTAACTATAACATCACCATATCGACCAAAGCGACTTTGCATTTTTCTGGTCAAGTCACTTGGGAACCTCCTGCTATCTTCAAAAGCATGTGCCCGATCGATGTAAAGTGGTAAGTCATCATTTATCTATGAGTGCTTTTGAGAGAAAAATTTGTGCTCGCTAACAACGCGTTAAAGGTAACAAGAGCCGCATTGTAGTGGTACTTATGAAAGGACTCTGGGATACAAGCTAAAGGCAACATGCTTTCGCGACTGCAAGACACTTGTCCTCCATGGCTCATGGTTTATATTTTAGATGCAGGTTTATATTTTCGAGTGCCGAGTTGGAAAGGTGGGCCTGCATAACCTGCCTTACCTACCTATGCTCGATTGGCTATAGATGCTGACAACTTAGCGCGCCCTCCAAGTTTCCCAATCCGGTGTGAGCCCGCAGACCAATCACAGGTAGACCGCCACGAAACAA